AGCACCACATACCAACAAAGATGTTGTGTCCGCCGAGAACTAAAAAATAAATATTAAAAATTCTCTCTCTCTCTCTCTCCTCTCTCACTCTCTCTTAAAAAAAAAAAAAAAAAAAAAGATAAAGTTCTAAATAGTGAATGGTAGCTCCATCCCCTTTGTCACCCAGTTTCTAGAATATCTGCTGCAGGTATTCTCATACAATAGATTGGAAAAGATACTAATATTTCCAGGGGTCTCCAACAGAAGGTCAGACCTTGTCTGATCATCCTAATGTGAAGCCCACAAATTGACAAGTGTATCCACCTACACAGAGCTTTCAAACATCTTTAAGAGTATCAACAGATAGCCAAGTGTCACTAGGCATCGAAAGAAACCTCTAACAAAGGTTAGTTCAAAACAGATGGACAAGAAAATAATTCAAAGGAAACAGTAAAAGCAGGATGGACAAGAAGGGAAAACATTTACTATATAATATACTAACAGAAAATCTCACATTGACAAACAAGATTCTTTAAAAAAAAGGAACATTACAAAAATAAGAAAGACTTCTTGAAAGTTAAAAATATATATGAGAAAAACTACAACCCAGAATGATTGCAAGATAAAGAAGTTCCTAAATAATAGAGTAAAGGAAAGAGATGGAAAATAGGCAAGAACAGTTCAGAAAACGATAGGATTATTCCAAGAGATCCAACACTTGGCTAACAGAAGTTTAGGACAAGAAAATAAAGATAATAGAGGAGAGTAAATTATCAAAGAAGCTATATGAAAATATTTTCCCAGAACTGAAATAATATCTATAGATTAATAGAGCACAATATATGGGGCGGGGACAGCAAGGTACAATACTTGTGAAATTTCATTTCTTTTTTTTTTTTTTTTTTTTACTTGTGAAATTTCAGAACTCCAAGAATAGAAAATTCTAAAAGCTTCTAGAGAGAATACTCAGGGTTAGTATTCAGAACGGTATTAGATATACAAAAGCAACAAATTTAAGTCACCTTCAAAATTCTTACAGAAAACTGGGGCATGGTGGCTCACATCTGTAATCCCAGTGGTTCGCGTGGCTGAAACAGGAGGATTACAAGTTCAAAGCCAGCCTCAGCAACAGTGAAGTGCTAAACAACTCAGTGAAACCCTCTCTAAATAAAATACAATACAAAATAGGGCTGGGGATGTGGCTCAGTGGTTGAGTGCCCCTGAGTTCAATCTCTGGTACCAAAAAAAAAAAAAAAAATTCTTACAGAAAAAAATTCCTAGTTCAAATTTTTTTTGACCAATAGACTGTCACCCAAGATGAAGGGTGGCTAAGACATTCTCAGACAAACTGTGCATATAACCCCTACAAGAAGACCCTGTCCTCCAGAATAGGTAAATAAATAAGGAAGGGAAGTGAAGAGGATCCAGAAAACTGGGGTTCCATTACAGGTTAGGAAAAGGAAACCCCCAGGAGGAGGAAGTTCTAGCAGAGAAGTCTCTAGAAATAGACAACTAACTGATAGAGTATCCAGTTGAACAAATAAAGAGGAGTTCACTAAGAGGGAAAAACATATCATACAGAAAAAGAAATGTAGTCATGGTTCACAACTTGGCTTGATGAAAAATAATATTCAGACCTAATCACCTCTTAATTTAATCAAAGTTTGACCTAATTATAATTGGAAAGATAAAGTTTGTTGGATAGTATATAAAGAGGATGTCAGAACAGACTCTTAATATTCCATAACAGCAATTAAACTATCAATGTAATTTTGCTGCATAACAATTACCAAAACTTAATGACATAAAACAACAGGTATTGATTACCTCAAAGTTTCCCTAAAGAATACAGAAACTGAGGCTGGGATTCTGGCTCAGTGGCAGAGCGCTTACCTGCACATATGGAGGCACTGGGTTCGATCCTCAGCACCACATAAAAATAAATAAAGATATCATGTCCATCTACAACTAAAAAGTTATTTTAAAAAATACAGAAACCATTTAGAGGTCTCTCATGAGGTTATAGTCCAGACATCAGTCACAGCTGAAGTCATCTGAGGCTTGACTGGCTAGAGGCTCTATTTCCAAGCTCAGATAGATGGCTAGAGGAGGAGGCTTTAGTTCCTCTTCATAGGGCCCTCTGCTTAGGCTGTGTAGTCCAGCTTCCTTTGGAGTAAGTGACCCAGGAGAGACATTAAGAGGAATTTCAGTTTCCTTTTTCAACTTACTCTTTTTTTTTTTTAAGTTGTCATTGGACCTTTATTTACTTATATGTGGTGCTAAGAATCAAACTCAGAGCCTTACACATGCTAGGCAAGCGCTCTACCATTGTGCTACAATCCCAGCCCACTCAACCTACTCTTGAAGATCACTTCTGCTGTATTCTATTAGTTACATACACTAACCATGATGCATTGTGGGAGAGAACTGCATAAGGACGTGAATACCTAGAGGCAGTGTCATTGGAGGCTATTAGGAGCTGGCTGCCACAGGAGATATCTTTAGGTGAAAATTCAAGAATTAACATTTTGGCATATTATTTAGAAAGGTGAAACTAAATCCCAGAAGAAGGAAGTTCCTGGGAGCAGGATTCAGGAGTGGACTCAGACTGCTATTTTTCATTATGTATCTTCTAGAGCAACTTTGAGAAATGTATTATTGTATTATTGTGATTTTTTAAAAAATTACAACAGAATCCCTAAGCATGTATCCCCAGCAAGGTAGTAAGATTAGTACCTGAAGAACTAATAGAATTTGAGTCTGATAAGGATCCTTTGGCATTTGCAAGATTGTGTTTATGATCTTGAAGGGCTGTTTACAGATAATAATTAAGTCAAAGAAGACATAGTGATGGCCAGGCATGGTGGCTCATGCCTGTTATCCTAGCAGCTTGGGAGGCTGAGGGAGGAGGATGGCAAGTTCAGATCCAGCCTCAGGAACTTAGGGAGGCCCTAAGCAACTTAGTGAGATCCTGTCTCAAAATTAAAAATCAAGAAAAAGGGCTAGGGGGACTGAGATTGGGGCTCAGCAGTAGAGCGCCCGCCTAGCACAGGCGGGACCTGGGTTCGATCCTCAGCACCACATAAAAATAAAGGCATTGTATTGTGTCCATATACACCTAAAAAATAAATATTTAAAAAAAAAAAGAAAAAGGGCTGGGGATGTGACTCAGTAGTTAGCACTTCTGGATTCAATCCCTAGTACCAAAAAATAAAAATAAAAACAAGAAAAGGAAGAGGAAGATGATAACATGATGATGGAACTTGAACTGGAATCCTTGAGTAAATGTGACAGAGATGAGCATCAAGTAGTGAGATGCCCTGGCATTTCTGTAACATGGAACCTGAGAAAAGTGGGATGGAAATGCTGTTTTGCTGTTTCTAGAGAACAGAAAGTTCTTAAGTGGAAATGTTTATATAGCTTGGAGCTATAAATGGTAAAGCTTATTGAAGGGAATAGCCTTTTGGCAGATAGTTGTGAAACACTTTATAGAATTCTTCAGGCATGTGTCTGTTAGTGTTTGTTACAAATTGGGAGAGAGAGTTGGCTTCTGTCCCTTTGGGCTATACAGATCACTGACCTGTCTGCAACATAGTTCATTCCTGCTGGCTGCTATCAGAGTTATTTTTTTTTTAAGAGACAGGGAGAGAGAGAGAATTTTAATATTTATTTTTTAGTTATCTGCAGACACAACATCTTTGTTGGTATGTGGTGCTGAGGATCGAACCCGGGCCGCACGCATGCCAGGCGAGCGCGCTACCGCTTGAGCCACATCCCCAGCCCCAGAGTTATTTTTTGCAGAGGTGCTGTGGACTGTTCCTTGTCTACCACAACCTGCTTGGTGCCTCAGCACCCCCTACCCACCCACCACCGCCAACTTTTGAGCCCGTGGTGCATCATGCTCTGTCATTGGTCTTCACAAACAGCCCCTATTCAAGTCTTGTCTCATTTCTCCTCATCTCTACCTCCACTATATATTTACTTTTATTGAAGAACATACTGTTAGGAGCTCCAGTGTTCTTGGACAGTTTGTGTATTCTCTCTGCCACTTCCTTCTGCCTCCTCCTCTTTCACCTTCCCCTCCTCCTCTTCCTCCTCCTCCTCCTCCTCCTTCTATTTTTGGTACTAGGGGAACTGAACCATTGAGCCATATCCCCAGTCCATTTTTTTTATTTGTTGAGACAGGGTCTTGCTAAGTTGCTTAGGGCCTTACTAATTGCTGAGACTGGCTTTGAACTTGTGATCCTCCTGCCTCAGCCTCCCAGGTCACTGGGGTTACAGGTGTGTGCCACCATACCTAGCATCCATCTTCCTTCCAATAAAACTGAGGTTGCAATTAGCATTGAAGGAGTCAGGTATTTGAGTTGGTTGAGGAGTTGAGAGGGATACACTGGAGAATGCCATTAAAGTAAAAACTTATCACTGGAAGCATTCAGGCTTACATTTTTAATCATTTAACACCTCATTAAAATGCATTGTTGGTTTGGGGTTGTGGCCCAGAGGTTGAGCGCTTGCCTACCATGCATGAGGCACTGGGTTTGATCCTCAGCGCCACATAAAAATAAAATAAAGTTACTGTGTCCATCTATAACTAAAAAAATAAGTATTTTTTAAATGAATTGTTTACATTCTTCTACTGTATGTTGAATTTAAAATATTTCCAGGTCTTCATCATAAACCTTGATTGTGATGCAATGGGCAAAAGGGTAAGCTGTGGGAGGGCCAAATTGGGATTTTATGTTTGCATTCCTCAATATGTCTTTGTATTTTATTTTGCCCACAGATCGGGGACCACAAATTCAGTGCTCACCGGATCGTCTTAGCAGCCTCAATCCCGTACTTCCATGCCATGTTTACAAATGATATGATGGAGTGCAAGCAGGATGAGATTGTAATGCAAGGAATGGATCCAAGGTACTAAATCCTGCTATTAGGATTTTTTTTTCCTCATATATTTCAACCAGATATTTCATTGATCTGGTTCACCATTAGGATTTACCAGCTGCTTTCCAGGCACAATTTTACCCTATGCTTGGGACCATTTGAGGACCTGTATCATATAACAGGATATGGTATCTAAGAACGCATCTTCATACAGATAATAGATGATTAGTAAACACATTAGAATCTCAGCCAGTGGCTTGAGACAGAATTCAAATGAAAGGAATTTTAAGGAAATACTTTTCCCCCCCTCTTTTATTGCCTTTAATGTGTTGCTGAGTCCACCCCAGGGGCAGATTTTTTTTTTTTAATGTGGTACTGAGGATTAGAACCCAGGGCCTTGTGCATGCAAGACATGCACTCTGCCAACTGAGCTATATCCCCAGTCCCCATGAAGGAGTTTTGATGTTATTTTTACTCTACTATTAAAGTCCAAGATATTTTTATAAGTTGGGGCTGGATATCAGTTTGATAGTGTATTACTCTCTATACTTTTTTGAGCTAACTATTTATTAGCTGGCAAAATAATTCTTCCAATAAATATCTTCATTTACTTTCCTTCTCAGTATTCTAGAAAAGTATTCATTAAAACTTTCTACAATGATGGAAATGGTCTTTTTGTGCTGTCCAAAATGGTAGCCACTGGCCACAGATGGCTGTTGAGCTCTTGAAATGTGACTAGTAAGACAGAGGAACTGAATTTTAAATTTGATTTTAATTAAGTAGTCATGTGTAATGACTATTGTATTGGACAATAGGTCTAGAATATGGCAGAATTTTATGGTTATTTGATGGATCAAAAAATTAAAGCCCCAGCCCAAGGTTATCCCATTAGCTAGTAACATATGATTATATGTTACCTCATTTCTTAATCTTATAGTGGTGAGTCCTAGGGAAAGGGAATCTAGGAGAAAGTGTGTCACCTCTGGATGATTGGGGATTATCTGTACCTACTGCAAGACAGGAATCTCAGGCCAGCTACTAGTAAGGTAAGGCAGCAGTGGGTCTCCAGGGCAGTTGTGCACTCTTCTCTGAGGTCTGTGTCTGAACAAGCCATGCTGAGTTCTGTGTACATCCAAGTGCTTCATCAACAGAAACTGACTGAGCATCTATGGTATGCACAGTTTGAGGCAAGTACATAAATGGTATGGCTGGGAGTGAACATGGTATAAGAAAAGTAAAGCAGAGTACAGAGTACAGGTTAATGAATGATGGGTGGAGTCATTTCAGAGCGACCAGGTGGTAGGGTGATATTTGATCCAAGACCTTAACTGAGGTAAGAAAATGAGCCAAATGGGAGAACAGCCCTCCAAACAAAAGGAGCAGCCAGTGCAAAAGATCTGAGGTGAGAGTGTATACAGGTTGTTGGAACAGAGCACAAAAGGAAAAGAGTAGGAGGGGCTGGGGATGTGGCTTAAGCAGTAGCGCGCTCGCCTGGCGTGCGTGGGGCGCTGGGTTCGATCCTCAGCACCACATAAAAATAAAATAAAGATGCTGTGTCCGCCAAAAACTGAAAAATAATTTTTTTTTTTAAAAAAGGAAAAGAGTAGAAGGTAATGAGGTCAGAGAGATAGAGAGGGGTCAGAACTCATCCAGCCCTATGGCTGAATTTAATTTTGATTCTCAGTGTGAACTGGAGGCAAATAAATAACTAAATACATTGAAGTCTCATTCTAGAAATTTACCTCCAAACAATAATAATAATCTAAAACATAATGGCAATGAGACAGTAACCACTATGATGCCTACCAGTAACGGCAGTTAATTGTAGCACATTTCCAATGTTGAAATATCATATAGCAGCTACCAAAAATAATAAACATGAAGCCAGCATAGCAATATAAGAAAGGGTTTGATAAGTATTTTATGATTATAGCCATATAATTTGTGCATATAGGTAAACAGAGACTGAAAACAAACTTTGAAACGGTCACCGTTGACATTTTCAATAGTGAGTTTGTGAATAATTTTCTTTTTTTTAAATTTTAATCAATTTATTTTTAATTGTAGATGGACACAATATTTTTTATTCATTTATTTTTCTGTGGTGGTGAGAATCTATCCCAGTGCCTCACGCTTGCAAGGCAAGTGCTCTACCACTGAGCTACAACCCTAACCTAGATAATTTTTCTGCAGTAAAATTATTTGAACAATGAAGACAGCTAAGTAAAGTGAGTCTTTGGCTGTGTTGAAGTAGTTATTTCACTTAGAGTCTCAAAGGACATGGGTAAATGGATTTTTACACAGGGCACATCTGTTGTCCAGGTAGTCAGGTCAATTCATTAGGCTGGAGTCACCTATGGAACAATACTCCTCTCTGAAGAACTTCTCATGGCTTTCCTTCTTTCCTTTAGTGCCCTGGAGGCTCTGATCAACTTTGCTTATAACGGCAACCTTGCCATTGACCAGCAAAATGTCCAGTCATTGCTCATGGGGGCGAGTTTCCTGCAGCTGCAAAGCATCAAAGACGCCTGCTGCACATTCCTTAGAGAACGGTGAGGTGGTGTAGTGGGGAGCATGGTCATCCCCTTTTTAAAATCCCTGCCAGTTTGCTGTCCTTGGTGCATATAGCATTTATGAAGTGGGTGAAGTGAGAAGGTTACTCTGCAGAGATGACAGTTCTTGAAATCACTATCAAACAGTGCCCACCTCTTTGAGATCAGCCTTTGCAGAACACAGTTTGCCGTGTCTGCCCTCTCCCTTGTTGTGACATGTTCCTCTTTTCATCTTCCCTCTTCAATATGATCAACATGGAAATTAGCTAATTTAGCTAATTTTCTCACTAAACTAATTCATTCATTATTATTCCATAACCATCTCCATCTTTGTTTGGCTACTTCCTCCTCCTTAAATTTCTTAAACTTCCTGCCTTCCCTTTTAGGCTCTTTAGAGCCCACCCACATTTCACCTCCTATAATTCTCTGTCTCCCTTCATCTACTGGGAGCAATCATTATAATTTTTTTTGTTAGGATAAAGACCATGGATCATTTCCCTGCTCATTTCTGGTGCTTGGCAATGGGCTTCATGGTTCTCCCTTGACCTTGTAACATAACAAATAAGAAGGCTTTTTCTCTCCCCTCTCAGGAGGCTGAGCAGCCTAGTCATAAGGTAAAGGTCTTTTAACCACCAGAGGTTTGAGGGTGAGGGTTAGTTCTAGGCCACATACACACAGGGTGGAACTGAAAGAGCATCTCTCTGCATGTTGCTCTCCTAGGCCAGCCTTCACCTGAGCCTCCTCTGATCACCGGGTCCCTTGCCTTAAGACCAGTATTCCTTCTGCCTCAGCTCTGCCATTTTGAACCTCATCACCTGTTAGAGCTGACCTCCCCTTCCCTATTCCCGCTCTACCAACTCAAGTGGCTGCTATGTGGACCCAACCTTCTGTCCTCATTTTGTCTGTGTGGTACTCACAAGCATGTGTGCTTTTAGTCATGATAACTGGTAGTGATGCCTCACATATAGGGGCATTCATCTGCTAGGTGAAAGGTGAATATTTTCAATGGTACCATATCTGGTTTTGTAGATGGAGACTTAATAGTGACAGTGTAGCTCCAGAGCCAGGCTTGTGCCTGCCTTGGGATGACTTCTGGGTCAGGCTGGAGAAGTGCATGAGGATATGTAGGGTACAACTATCTTTCCTATTCATTTCTTTCTTTTTTTTTAGTTGTAGGTGGATACAATACCTTTATTTTATTTTTATGTGGTGCTGAGGATTGAATCCAGTGCCTTCCACATACATGTGAGGCGAGAACTCTACCACTGAGCTACAGCCCCAGCCCTTTCCTATTCATTTCTATGTTTAAGGACACAGACCAGTTTTCAAGTTCTTCAAGTTCCCATAAAACTTGAAGAACGGTTTGTTCTTGAAGGATTAAGTTGGCCATTCTCACAGCTTTGCCAAGGGACAACAGCACCACCTAGGGGCTTTCAAGGTCTTCACTTTCAACAGTGAATTCAGACACTAGTAGACACTAAAAGATGCTGAACAGTGATTATAAGCGAGTACAGGCCTAGTGATCTGTGTCCAGGTGGAATGGGCTCTCCGGAAGTCTTGTGAAGTAACTATCAGAGAAGGGGGCAGGAGAGCCATGTGCTGGGAAACCCATCTGCCACATACAGCTGCTGCTGTTTGTTCCTGGTTGACGGTCTAGAACATTACCCTACCTCTGGTCACCAAGAAAAGGCCCTGAAGTTGTAGAATGAGTTTAAACCATGGGGAGAGATGATGCTTCTAACATTGGGATTCTTTTTTTAGACAGACAAAGGCTCTGTGGACCTAACTCTTCAGAGAACTGAAGAGTTAGGTCCACAGAGCCTTTGTCTGTCTACAACTTCAGGGCCTTCTCTGATAGTTACTTCACAAGACTTCCCGAGAGCCCATTCCACCTTGAAACAGATCACCAGGTCCAAGAAGCAAAGGCCTTTGAGGATAATCCATCTTTATTTTATACTTTTGATGTTGAGTACCAGAGAGGTGCACCTGGTGTCACAAGGGGTTTCCAACAAAATTGAGGCCAAAATTTTTTTTATTCTGTACCTCTACCCAGAACCACCCTTAGAATAATCAAACATTCTTCTTGCCTCTGGTTTTTTCTTTTCATCTTTTCTTATGCCAAAAGGCTTCACCCAAAAAATTGCCTGGGTGTGCGCCAGTTTGCAGAGACAATGATGTGTGCCGTGCTGTACAACGCAGCCAACAGCTTCATCCACCAGCACTTTGTGGAGGTGTCCATGTCGGAAGAGTTCCTAGCCCTGCCCTTGGAGGATGTGCTCGAGCTCCTGTCCCGGGATGAGCTGAATGTAAAGTCAGAGGAACAGGTCAGTGACACAGTGGCAGTTTGCACAGGTTACACAGTGTTTTCTGTTATTTTCTTTCTCACAAAATTAAGATCATGACATATAGACAGATAGTTTTATTATAAGTATTTTTCATGAAAATTTTTCGTATATTTTAGTGTCTAAATAATATTTTGTTTATTTTATCAACCCCACTTTCTTCCCTTATTCTTGGGTATTTGGGCTATTTTCAGTATTTACTATCAGAAATGATATTGCCATGAACTGGATATAATAAGCTTAGATAATTTTGTGAAAGAGTATTATTCTGAGGAAGAGGATAACATTGTGGCAGTCAGGAGAGGTTTGTTTTTCTTAAGGTGGAAGAAATTACTACATACTTGACTCTGATGGGACTTTTCCAGAAGAGACAAGAACAGGTAGAGAAATGGAAGAATAGTTACTGGGTGATATTTTAGAGTGAAAAGAGACAGAGTTTAGGGCAGGGAATGTGTATTTGATAGGAGCACTGCCATCCACACCCAGATGCAGGGAGGAGAGGTTGGGGTGCACACACCCAGGTACAGCAGAGGGAGATGCTTTTTTTTTGAGATGCTGCTTCTTATTGGCATTCTCTTCTGAGGAAGGTGAGGAGAGATGAAAGGATATGAAGCAGTCTTCTATGGGAGAGTAAATGGACACTGCCAGGCAGATGAAGAGGGATTGATAGGAAGCATTTTTTAATTTTATTATTATTTTGGGGGGTACTGAGGATTGAACCCAGAGATGCTTTACCACTGAGCCACATCTCCAGCCTTTTTCTTATTTTAAGATGCGGTCTCACTAAGTTGCTAAGGCTGGCCTTGAACTTGCAATCCTCCTGCTTCAGTCTCCCATGCCACTGGAATTAAAGGTGTGCACCACTACACCTGGTGATAGGAAGCAGTTTTGTGGGGTTGATAGCTCAGTTGGTAGAGTGCTTGCAAAAGGCCCTGGGTTCAATCTCCAGCATCACAAAAAAAAAAAAAAAAAAAAAAAAACAAGAAGAAGCAGCAGCAGCAGATTTGGGGCTATGGCTGTAGCCCAGTGGCAAAGCACTTGCCTACCATGCACAAAGCACTGGGTTTGATTCTCAGCCCCACATAAAAATTAACAAAGAAAATAAAGGCATTTTGTTTATCTACAAATACCAAAAAAATTAATTAAAAAAAGAAAAAGAAGCAAATTTATAGTAAAATTTTTAAAATAAACTGATCAGCTCCATTGTGTGGTCAGCCACATGTACTGATATCAGTACAGAATAGGGTTGAGTTGAACTTGAAGAACTAGATCTTACTGGGTTAGAGATCTTTTTTTCCAGATGAGTGTGACTGAGAGAGGAATGTGGCATGAGAATTGGGGGCACCTACATAATAACCCATGGAGCCCATGCTGGTGGAGAGATAAGGAAATAGGCTAGATATGGGGAGCTGAGAAGGAGGTGGGGAACAGTGTCAAAGACTGATGGGAGTCAATTCCTGAACTGAAGGGTTGAGTTGGTGATTAGTGCTCATTTACTTGAAACTGTGGAAGACAGGAAGCTCTTGATAAAACCAGTTATAGTCCTCAGGGAGGGCGAGGCTATTGGCAGAGAGAGGTTCGGGCAACCACAGGATCCTCCAAGGACAAAGTAGACAGATCTTATTGGAATGGTTCAGGAAAACTAAAATGAGAACATAGGGTGTTGGTAGCCAGAGAGGAACAAAAGACAATGCTTTCTGTTCCTGAGGCATTGTGCAAGTTGCCTTAAGAGAATGATGAGTAGCTGTCATATCTGGGTACAGGGTGGGGAGGGCTGGCAGTGAAGGGCATTGAGTGTGAGAATAAGGAGTTTGGACTTGGCCCTGCAGGCACCAAGATCTTCACTGCCGAAAGGCCTCTGTCTTTGGTCAATAGAGAAGTCTAACCAAAGGCCAAGCCCCTTGGGATATTTGATTGAATATCGAATCTTGACGTGGCCTGCCGTGGAGCTGGGCTTCATCAGGAGCCCCAAGTCTGGGAGGAAAACTGTTGCATGTTAGGCACAACTTATCTAATTTCCTGAATGTCTAAGAGTCCTTGACTCCTGAATATTAATTAGTGATTGGAAGTGACCCCTGGGTTTGGCAGTATGGGCACCATCATTTAGAAGGGAAGAGTGGAGCCTTATTCCAAGAATAGGATATTCTCTCCCTAGCTCTTCTGCTAATTAGTATGACTGAGGCAGCTCACATTTATTTGAGTGATGCATTGTAAGGGCTCTAAGTGTTTTTTTTTTTTAACACCTTTATTTTATTTATTTATTTTTATGTGGTGCTGAGGATCGAACCCAAGGTCTCGCTTTACCTCCGAGCCACAACCCAGCCCAGTTTTTAAAGGGAGATAATTTTGTGGCTGGGGCCATTAAGGAAGGACCCTTGGAGAACATGGATCTCAAACTAGGCCTTAGAGAAAGGAAAGAAACATTTAGACAAAAAGGAGGAGAGGAGAGGACATTCTAAGAGATGTTCACAGAACGGGAATTAGGGCCCAGCTTAGCTAGAGTAGAGGGAGGTTTGAGGGAGTTTAGAGGGGGTAGGGTACAGGAGCAGCAGGAAAGGAGAGAAACAGGCATTTTGTTGTGATGCAGGAATGAAAATTGTATCATTGACAGTTTGTCATTAGGAAATCATAATGAAAGCTAGGAAGCTGTTAGAATAACAGTTTACATTACAAAAGACTGGGCCAAATAGAGTAGCTGGGAGTTGGAGAGAGAGCAGTAGATTTAGGAGACAACTAGGAGGAAACGTTGATGGGTTTCAGTATAGGAAGTGGAGAGCGTGAGATTGGGGGTAGGGGTGTATCCTCTGAGTTGCTGCCACAACACCCATTCTTTAGGTCTTTGAAGCTGCATTGGCCTGGGTCAGATATGACCGGGAACAGAGGGGGCCCTGCCTGCCAGAGCTGCTGTCCAATATTCGCCTGCCTCTCTGCCGGCCCCAGTTCCTGTCAGATCGAGTGCAGCAAGATGACCTGGTGCGTTGCTGCCACAAGTGCAGGTGAGCAAGGGCAGACTTGCACAGGACAATGCTGAGGGTCTATGCAGAGAAGAGGATTTGGCCACCTAGTCCAGCTCAGGGGAGGAAGGATTTGGAGTGTTCTAATTCATGGCACACAGATTGATCTGTCCTCTGTCTAGAATGGAAGAGGAAGTGGAAGGAGCCTGAGTCTTACACTGTGGGCAGAAAAATGTACATGTGAGAGCATCAAGGCAGAAGGGCTTTTCTCCCCTAAATTATCTGAGTATACTCCAGCGTCTTCATCCACTGAGCTCTTGTGAGTGTACAAGCAATCTATACTCCCTGCCCTGGCCCTGCCCATACTGGTGGTACAAATGGGACTTCCTGCGGCTCTTAACCCCTTCAGTAAATATGGGTCAGTGCACTGTCCTGCTGTGGGTGTAGGCTTTGCATCTAAGTGATGGGTGAGGGGAGGACAAATTACTGGCATGGGAAACTTCTGTCCAGAGAAAAGCACTGATGACATGACATAGTGTATAAAATTAGAGCAGCAGAGAAAAATGTCCATCTTCCAAATTGCTTGTCATACCCACAGGAGTGAATTTTTTTCCTCCTTTGCTGACAAGATTTTTGCACATATACAGCTTTCCTTCATTTTCTCACACCTAGTTGAGATCAACTGGTTCAGGAGAAAGTCAGTGGCTTGGTGCAGGTAGTGTGAAGATGTAAAGTAGCTGGCACCCTGTGACCAGCAGTCCCAAGAGTGCTGTTGAGGAGTGTGAACAATGCTGTTGGCAATGCATAGCTATCAAAGTTCTTAGAAGAACAGCATAGACTAGTGTGGAGGGGGTGCTGCAGAAGCAGGTTGGAGGCAGGGAAATCCATCCAGAACAGTTGGTGGCTGCAGTCACAGTGCAGGTGAGAGATAATTGATTACAAGGTGTGTGCTGTGGTTCAGTCATGGGGTGGAAAGAAAGAGGTAGATCTATCCAGCATTAGGATGCAGACTGCTTGCTGAGCCTCCCCTAGCCCAGCTGTTTTAGCCAACACCCTGTTTTTCTCACTCCTCAGTCTATGCTTATTAGAAGACAATTGTTCTGGTTACGCTAGCTGAGGTGAGTTTTATTTGTCTTGCTCCTTCAATTTGAGCATGTCTCAACAGCTGTACATGGCTTCCTGAGATCTCACTTGGATTCTTTGAGACCAAACTTTCCAGAAAACTTCTCTCAGGTTTTCCTGCAGTTGAGGGTGGAGAAGCCAGGCTCAGAAGTGCATCTGTGGACTGAGGGCTGAGGATACCTCCTGTCCTAGCACCTTGCATGTTATTCCAGGGACCTTGTAGATGAAGCGAAGGACTATCACCTCATGCCAGAGCGCCGGCCGCACCTACCCGCTTTCAGAACTCGGCCTCGCTGCTGCACATCCATCGCTGGGCTTATCTACGCTGTGGGAGGCCTCAACTCAGCAGGTATCTTGCAACTCCCCTTTGCAGAGCTCTACCTGGGGCTCCATGAAGAAAGAAGTACAGTCAACCTACCTGGCCATTGTGCTTTCTCTGCTTTGTGCTGTCACCTCCCCTGCCCTGACTGATGTAATTGCTCTGTGGTTAGCACTTGTCCTGTATTCATACTATTGAGTCCTAATGTCAGTGCTAAGGAGCCTTAAGCTATCCTTGAGGCCTAGCCTCTTCACATTACAGATGAGGAAACTGAGGCCCAGATAACTTTCACTATGTTCACACAAGTTGCTTTGGGCAGAGAAAAGACTAGAAATCAAATGTCCTATTCCCGAAGCATCATGCTTCACTAATATCACATTAGCTATAGCATTTACTCAGCCCTAGCCAGGATACAGAGACCCAGTTTTATAATCAGACTATTCACATTGAGTCAATGGATCTCTGAAGTTAGACTTTGAGAATGTTACCAAGAAAAGGAAGATTATCCAAATATGCTACTCTGCCACTATCAGTAATCCTTCTTACTTTCACCCCTATATATCACCTCCTGTGAAGCACTCACAAGTCTGTGTTAGTGGCAGCTCCTGTATCATATAGTCAGGTTTTCAGAAATGCCCCATGGGCCCTGTCCTCTTCAGTAAGAGTTGGTGGGCAGTCCTGAGCCATTCTGGTTTTAATTGAAACTTAAAGATGGCTGGGATTGTGGCTCAGTGGTAGAGCACTTGCCTAGTACATGTGAGGCACTAGATTGGATCCTCAGCACCACATATAAAGTAAATAAATAAAGATATTGTATTTATCTACATCTAAAAAAATTAAAATAAAACAAAAGAAAACTAAGGAGAGGTGGGTACTAGTCTTCTGCTTGTTAACCATATGACCAAAAGAAGTAAGTTGTTAACTCAGTGAATACTGGAGTGTAGCAAGTACTAAGTGTCCCAAAGCAGCATATACCAAGGAAGAAATTATTTTAATTGATTGTCATAAAAACCTGATCAAAAAGGGTAGAGTTGGAATTATCATTTCTTACTGCTGTGAATATTATTTATTGAGCACTAAGTATATTCTAGAGCCATGCAAGGAACTGTATCTATTCTGTCATGTAGTCTCATGGCAGCTGTGCCATAAATTTCATGTAGGAAACAGAATGGGGATACAAAACAACTTGCCTAGGTTTACTCATTAGGAAGTGAAAGTTGGCATTGGGATCCATGCTCTTCCCTCTGATCATGCCTCCTGAGTTAGAGAAACTGTGTGCAATTGCTTTATCCTTGACTTTAGGCAGGTGATGGTAACTGAAAAGTACTATCTCAATAAAGTAAATGCTTCCTATGTGATTCTGATTTTCCTTAAAGAAAATCAGAGTTTACCATGGCTAAAATTTCTGCATGGGGCACTTGGGCCCTGAGTAATTCTATGGGAAGAGAGCTAATAGAATCAAGTCAAATGTTCCATATAATCAATGCCCAATAGCTATGATCTAAACAAGTGGTCTCATTTGTTTTAATTTGAGTAGCAAATTTTTATGCAGGTGATTCCCTGAATGTGGTGGAAGTATTCGATCCCGTCGCCAATCGCTGGGAGAAGTGCCATCCCATGACAACAGCCCGCAGCCGGGTGGGTGTGGCTGTGGTGAACGGGCTTCTCTATGCCATCGGGGGATATGACGGCCAGCTACGGCTGAGCACTGTGGAGGCCTACAACCCAGAGACGGACACATGGACGAGAGTGGGGAGCATGAATAGCAAGAGAAGGTATTCTGGAAGCCATGTGCAGGCCGAGCACACACACTGAGCATCTGGGGAGCGCCATGCTAGACGAACAGGGGCACGTAATAAAGTAAAATACAAGCTTTGGCCTGGGAAGGTCTTGCAGCCAGGCCAGCCTCTGCCAGCACCTCCTGGGAGTGAGCCCCCGTCTGCTTAAACATAAAATACCTGCCTTGTCCTTTGAGAAACCTGGGGAAACAAGACATGGACATGTGGAAGTTGTATTGTTATTTAAGTGCCAGATAAGGACTGAAAATATGTATTGTGGAAGATTCAAGGAGGGAGAGAAACTGGACTGGAACGTCTGGAAGATTTCAGGGAAGAGGTGGGATTAAAGTTGAAACCTGAAGAATAAGGAGGATTTAACTTTCTTTTTTAAATTTTTTTTATAGAGAAAGTTCTTTTAAATATTTATTTTTTGGTTAGACACAATACCTTTATTTTGTTTATTTATTTTTATGTGGTGTTGAGGATTGAACCCAGAGCCTCACGCACACTAGGCGAGTGCTCCACCGCTGAACCACAACCCCAGCCTGGATTTAACTTTCTTAGTGATAAAAGGAAATCCAAAGTGTTTTTCTTTATACTTTCTTTCTCCAAGGACTCTTGCTTCATGTGTGTTCCCGTTGCCCAGGGAATATATGAAACAAAGTAGTGTTTTTTACTTCAGGGTCACATAGGTATTGTGGCAAGATGGACCACGTTTTTATGTCACTGAACACATTCTAGCTATTTGTTGCCTGCTCACATTTCCTGAATAATAAGTGGGATTAGAGGATATCCCAGTAGTGCCTGCATTGAGCTTTCTCAGTGCAGAGCTGGTAGGCAGCATTTTTCCTTATGTCAGACATGTGCTCGGGCAGTGAGAAGGCCCATACTGCTCAAGGGATGTCACTGGACAAGTTCTTTTGCTCTTCTGTCCCTGTGAGGTCACTAAAATAAATGAGTGGTTTCACATGGTGCTCTGATGTCTTTCCTCAGAAGACTGACAGGAGACAGGAAAGCAGTCCTAGTCTCTACCCACTTAACCAGAACAGCTATGTATTTACCCATTTTGCATTTTAAGCTTCCTTGACATAGACCCCGTTTTAAGGGGGGAAGCTACATGAATTTCTTTTAAAGGGACATTTGAAAACCAGTGGACCAGTTGCTCTTTATTGGTCTTTCTGCTTTGTAATTCTGTGATCTAAGTATTTGCCTCATGGACCCCTTCACCTTTCCATGCCTCAGGGTGTCCACTTGTAAGAGCACGTGACTGGAAAGGAAAAAAGAAATCAAATGACATATGTGTGATAAGGAAGAAGAGTTAACAAGAAAGTCCTTTGCCACATAAAAGTGTAATGGCCATGATACACATGTTCCACATTCAGTAGTATTAGCATGTGACCACAAGCCAGGAGGAATCTTTGTAGCAATTAAAGACCAGAGTCACAAAGGGATCGAGTAGGTTCATTTTGGAAGAAAAAAATATGTACATAAGGTCTGCACTTCCCAAGAATGCTTGCACAGTTCCTTTATTTGCACCACCTACCCCCACCTTGATGTTTCCCCGTCTGCCCCTTGGACACTTTGCAACTTTCTTAAGTGGCTTTTTTGCTGTGTCAGTAGTCACTTGGCATTCCTTGTGTGTCTGTTCTGGGCCACTTCTTTGCTTCAATGTCAGTGAATTTGAAGTGTTGTCTGGGAAGAAAGTCCTCTGGGTATTTCTCTCCTTCACTGTGGTTAATGCCCTGGTATTAGGTTGCAGGGCCCAATTCCACTTCATCCCTTTGAAATTATAGGTTACCTAAAATGTTTCTTGGTCGTTCCTCTCCTAACCTCCCACACAGCTGTCCATCCTGCCAGTTAGCGCAGCCTCCTTTCTGCTCATTTTCCATGCCATTTCTCCGCAGTGTCGGAGCTTTCCTGCAGTAGACTATGCCAGTCCACACAGATCAGCACTTTCCCTTATCTCCTTACACTTGTCTTTACCACTTATTTTGTAGTTAATCTCATACATTCATTCTCATATCACTGTTGAACTCCTGAATTATTACTTAATTTTTATGTCAGATTCATGTCCGTATCTAGAAGGAATTTGTCATCTTCCTGTAGTCCTTGTCTAAGATAAGTCCCTTTTCTCCTTCAGGCTGGTTCAAAGGGTCTGATACTGTGTCCTTCAAAGGGTCTGATACTGTGTCCCTCAAAGGGACATTATGTGGATCAATTTAATTTGCTGTGTATACTTGAAAGGTATCAGTAACCCTGGTGTATTTTATTTTCCTATTTGTTAGACACCCAGATTCATTTTTAGTCATCATGTTTAAAAAACAGTGAATCCGGCAGCTTGGCATTTCTCATAAGGCTTGTATAGAGTGGAAAATTATGATTGCACCAGACCACCACCCACCCCGTCTTTAGTGCTAAGAGAGCTTATCAGGTGAGGAGCAGGGAGTTGGGCTTGTGTCATTTAAATCCAAGACACACCTCTTCCAAGGCAGCCTTGAGAAAAAAAGACCTATTCCCCAAGCTAGCAGCTCTCGTATACTGCAATTTGTGATCCTTGCTTCCTTGCAGGGTGTGGTGAGGATTGGAAATAGCAAGCATGGAGTACCTGACACATGTAATAAATGTACAACAAGCAGAAGCTGAAGCATCACCCACAGAGACAGATTAGAGTCATGTGTGTAAAGAAACACATTTATAGTGAATTGAATGTGAAAAGTCAGAGGTAAAGTGAGAGCCAGTTATGCACAAAACACACAACAAAAATACTATTGAGGGCACACAGATGAATTTGAGGTCTTCCAGAAGGTCCCCGCTTGGTGAGAGATGGCAAACAGATTCCTGGCACCTCATCGTGCCAGAACATAAAACCCTTGAGGGTGAGAGCTTCTAAAGCTGGCACCCAAGATGGCGTGCCTTGAGAGTAGCTGCTGATGAGTGAATGAATGGTTGTGACAAGTGCTGTGATAAAGAAGCTACTCTGGGGGCATGGGGCTGAGGGAGAGTGATTCTGGCTGAGGGATCCAGGACAGCTTTGGAGGAGGAGGAGAGAGGAATTTGACCTGGGCCTCACCTCAGAATGGTGAGCATTTCAGGCAGATTGAGAACTGAAACCAGCTGGAAGGGGAGCTAGCCCAGGGCTGCAGGGCATAAGAGGAACTATAAAGCAGCCTCAGTGGCTTCAATTTTACACCTTTACTTAAGCATGTACCTGAGATTTAGGTCTAGAAAGAGTGATAGTTTAATTTCTCAGTGGGCATGAAAGGCTGCTCTATGAAGTCTAAGGCTCATCTTGGGTGACAGCTCTATCTGTTTCAGTGCCATGGGGACAGTTGTGCTGGACGGGCAGATCTACGTCTGTGGAGGCTACGATGGCAACTCTTCCCTCAACTCTGTGGAGACCTACTCACCTGAGACAGACAAGTAAGGATCCCCAACTCCCTGGGGCAACTTGAGCTTACTACACCATTTAAAAATTAGAGCTGCAGTTTTTTATTTAAGCCTCTTGAAGGTAGAAAATGTGGTACTATTTTGTCCCTTTTAGTACTTTGCACATAGTAGTTATTTATTAACCCTTGATTAAATTAATGAATGATTAGATACATTTTTTTAAAGAGAGAGAATTTTTTAATATTTATTTCTTAGTTTTCGGCAGACACAACATTTTTATTTGTATGTGGTGCTGAGGATTGAACCCAGCACCGCGCACATGCCAGGCGAGCAGGCTACTACTTGAGCCACATCCCCAGCCCAAGATAGATACATTTTTAAAACAATGGTTTTACTAGAAATTGGAAACATTTATTTAATGGTCTGTACCTCTTAGCTAAATCAGCCCATTTTAATGGAAAGGTAGGCAAAAGAGGATAAGAATAGATGAACAGTATAGTATGTTCCAAAGCCAGTAGGGTATGTTACATAGTTAAATAAACTTGGGAAATGTGGATGTCTTCTATCCCACCAGAATCCTTATCTTTCCATAATCACATTAGCATTGCAAAGGCTCTGGAAAATTCTGTGGTAGAGAACTCTGTTTAATAGGTGTTGTGTAAAACCTGTCGCCATCTTGTGGCATAATTTTGCACAACAGTCTTTGGAAAACACTGACAGGGTTAGCCAGAATTTTTTTATTTCAACATTTGAATCTTCTCATGTAGCAAAACCTAAGCAAATGAGTTGGATAGACCAGTCAGAATGCTTTTAAGCTAATATTCTGTCTCTTAACCAACTTACTAGCTTTGGGCAGCAAGTTTTATGTTCAAGACCCTGTAAGTACTAGAGAAATGAAAAGTTGTACTCTGTTTGTATACAAGGGTTGAAATGCATTCTGCTGTCATGTATAACTAATTGGAACCCCCCCCCAGGAAAAAAAAAACAAAACACTTCCTGGTACTACAAAAAAAGTAATACCCAGTGTGGTGGGCTGTGGATGCATTGTGATCATCCTACGTGGAGCCCTGAGTTTGGAGCCTTTGGCCCTCTTCTTCCCTGGCTTTGAGGGAAAGGCAAGGTGATAGGAATGTCTTCTAAAGTGAGATCTATTATGGATAGACAGTAGGAGGTGCTCATGATGAGCATAGACAGCCAGGGAGACAACAAGAAGAGAGGCTCAGATACGAATGTGCCCACTATAAGCTGGGTACAGCAGCATATAAGTGTAATCCTAGCAACTCAGGAGACTAAGGCAGGAGAATCACAGGTTCAAGGCCAGCCTCAGGAATTTAGGGAGACCCTGAGCAACTTAGACCCTGTCTCAAAATTTAAAAAAAACAGATGGGAATGTGGTAAAGTGCTCAATGGTAAAGTACTCCTGAGTTCAATCCCCAGTACAGGGGAAAAAAGAATGTGTTCACTGTAATCAAGGACAGCAGCAGTTAGGATCTAGGAGTAGGGATGTGGAGTGTGGAAGAAAGATAGCAGATATGGGTGGTATGTTGTAAGGGTAAAGGGAAGATAGGTGAAGACTATCTGGTAAATAAACACACTAAGAAACTTAGATTATGCCTGAAAGGAGACAATGAGGAGCCACTGGAGGAGCAATTCCCCTGGCTATATGAATTTTGAGTGGGAAAGGTCGGAAAGCCAATCCATCTAAGAGATTTTTTTTAGTMCAGATTTTTTTGGTCCAAGTAAGGACCAAAACTAGACAGTGACAGTGGAAATGGGGACAACTAATGACCAGGAGACAGACCAGCCAGGACTTAGGGACCACAAGAATGTTGAGGGTGAGGAAAAAAGCCAAATAAATGCTGGGGTTTTATAAATAAAGAAATTAGGTAGTTGAAGCTTCCACTAACAGGACCAGTGAGTTCGTCAGAGGAGCATCTGTATAGGAAAAACGGTTTGAGATATGCTGATTTTGAGTGTTCATGGTGATGAACAGAGAACTTAGGCTATGGGTTTGAAGCTCAAGTGAGAAGCAGCAGCCAGAGAATCAGCAGAAGTGGTCAGGGAGGCAATAACTGGTAGGGAAAGTTAGCCAGACATGGGGGCACAAGCCTGTAATCCTAGCATCAGCAAGTGGGGAGTCTGAGGGAAGTGGATTCAAAGCCAGCCTGGGTAACTTAGTGAGGCCCTGTCAAAAAAGAAAAAAAATGTGGGGAGATTGTCCAGGGCACAGGAGACCTAGCACAGTTCATCAGGAACTTGCTAAGCTGTCTTAGGAGGACAGGAAAACTGAATCTCATTCTCTCCTCCTGTTTTGACTTTTTCTGAAGGTGGACAGTGGTGACCTCGATGAGCTCAAACCGCAGTGCTGCTGGGGTTACGATCTTTGAGGGCAGGATATATGTTTCGGGCGGCCATGACGGTTTGCAGATCTTCAACAGTGTGAGTTTGAGCTCCTCCTGGGCTAAGGGCCCCTACTCCTTGTATCTTTGAGAGTATTTTGAGGAATATTTCAGCCTTGCCATTGCTGGATAAAACATCACCTAGTGAGGTTTCAACCTGTGTCATTCATCCTCGGAAATACTTAATTTCTAGAGAGGGAGAGCCAGTGTTCACAAAGGAGGGGTAAAGTATAGTCACTGCTATCCCCCAAACCCATTTAGCTGTCTGTGGAATACCACAAAAGACCTTTTGAAATTTCTACCCAAAGTAAGCATGAATTTGAATAAAGTTGTAACTCTTCTGGATATTTTGTTTGAAATTACAATTATGATTTTTAAAAGCTCAGCAGCAACTGAGTATGGTGGCACACACCTATAATCTGAGCTACAGCGACACAGGAAGCTAAGGCAGGAGGACTGCAAGCTCAGAGCCAGCCTCAGCAACCTGGTGAGACCCTGTCTCAAAACAAAAAGGACTGTGCATATAGCTCAGTGGTAAAGGACCCCTGGATTCAATCCCAATACCACCAAAAATTTTTTTTAAAAAATGCTCAATAGCCATTTAAAAATAGTTCCCTAGAACCCTCTGGACAGTCCAGAGATTCTGCTCTCATCCCAGCTCTGGCATTACCTAGCAGGGCATCCTTGGATGTACCCAGAAGTCATATTCGGTGATCCTCTCTTACTGCCTCCACATGCCTAAGAGCAGGCACACAGCCAAGGAAGAGTATCAGAGCCAGAGCTTACTGGCCAAGCTCCTTTCCCCAGGATCCCCCAGAGTCTGATTCCACATGGGCCTCTGTGCCCTGCAAGGCCACTTACGGGTCAGGCTTTGTCTCTGACTGTCCTTTACTTGTGCCTCTCTCCCCACTACAGGTGGAGCATTACAACCATCACACAGCCACCTGGCACCCAGCAGCTGGCATGCTTAACAAGCGCTGTCGACATGGCGCTGCCTCCCTGGGAAGCAAGATGTTTGTCTGTGGAGGCTACGATGGCTCTGGCTTCCTCAGCATCACCGAGATGTACAGCTCTGTGGCAGATCAGTGGTGCCTAATGGTACCCATGCACACACGGAGAAGCCGGGTCTCCCTTGTGGCCAGCTGTGGGCGCCTGTATGCTGTAGGGGGCTATGATGGGCAGTCGAACCTAAGCTCAGTGGAGATGTATGACCCAGAGACGGACCGCTGGACATTCATGGCCCCTATGGCATGCCATGAGGGAGGGGTTGGTGTGGGCTGCATCCCTCTTCTCACCATCTAAGACAGAGGATGGGATATGGTGGGGAAGGGACCTGGTACAAACATGGGCGCTTCCTTCCAGGGACAATCCCTCTCAGGAGAGGTTGTGGACCAGAAGATGGGGTGAAATATGAGTTTACCAGAGGTACAGTTTTTACAGGTGCTTTAGTCCTCCCTCACTGTGCAGCCCTTGTGACCCTGAGTCATCAAGACGTACAGCACAGGACAGAAGCCCCTCTGGGTCCCACAGCCAGTGACACAGAACTGCTTTGCTGGTCCACACATCCACAGGCTCCATCCAAGCCCAGCTCGCTCCCACCACAGGTCAGCGAGCCGCCCATTTGCCGAAGGTCTTCCATCTGATGCTCCTCACCTGCTTGTTCTGCCATTTTGTGGCCAGTTTGCCAGGGAAGGCTGCAGCGGCCAGGGCTGTTGAAAACTGTGGGGTCTAGCTGGGAGAGAAAGGACACACCCAAGTGTTCTTATTGCCTGCGATGGTGCAACTACAGCAGCGTGCTCGTGGCACACAAGCATGCTTCTTCCTCCACCGTAGTGCACCGAGGATTTCATCCTTGTCTCTGGGTAAGCAAGGAGGACAGAAGTCTTTCCCATGTCTAATTTTGGGATTTCAATGAGATCTTTTTCATCTTGCCCAAGAGAATCAGAAGGGAAAATGATACTTGAAAGAAACTGAAGGAAATTTAATCAAAGAAACACTTGAAAGAAACTGGAAATAAAATACCTTTTTTTTTTTTTAAGTGAACAATTTTTTGCAGGAAGAAAATATAAAGACACTAAAGGCAAATATATATTTAAACGGAAAACCGTCAAACTCGAGCATGGCGGTATCTACTCCCATATTCGGATCCCAGGGTCCTGAGGCCTCGCAAAGAAGATGGGGTTCCCTCTGAGCCCCACTGTGTCTGGAATCAGTGCATTCTCGACTGGTCCTAGAGCAAGGTGCTCATGGGGTTTGTCTTCCACACCCACCATCAGAGGACTTTTTTAATTGTAGGCTTAGCGAGTCTGCTGAATTACTGCCACTCTTCTAGGTGGGAGCTCCTGGCTGTCGCCGTAGGCTCCAGATGCCCCTGTGATTATCTCCCACTGCCACCACAGCACTCATTCAGATTCCCCATTCCCACTTACATTCCTTCCTTTTTTGACCAGCGGGAAACGGCATTTCATAGACTCTTACTTGCCCATGTATCATTCTTGTATAATTTTCCTCATTATAATGTTGCTGGGGCACATTGCCATTCGTACCTCTAGAACTTAACCAGGGGCTTGCTCCTTCTACCAGCCATGAGCTAGCTTGGTCCAGTAACCTCATCTGCCCTGCCATTCCACTGTTCCACCATCACCTCGCCAATTCCAGGGGTCTGTCTTCCCTGTATTCCTTGGCAGACCAACCAGCAAGGTGGATCTTTAACATTCAAGCAAAGCTGGCTTTATGACATAAAAAAACAAAAGGCTGAAAGAATCTTTTGCTGCTGCAAAGAACAGATTTTATATCTTTTCCTCTAATCTTGGCAAATGACCTCGTGAAAAGACTCTATGCTCCTTCCTCCTACCCCCTGGATGGGACCTTAATGTAGCACAGCAGGACCCAAAAAGGAGGACTTTTTTTGTTACCAGTGCACTGGGCAGTGGGGCTGTCCTTCAACTGCTGCTGCCAAAATCTGGTTTTCTAAAATTATTCTTCCAGTAAAGGACTAAAAGAGGATACGATCCCTTTTAGCACAAGACTGAGTCTTAGGGTCCCACTCTCCACCTGTTTGGTTTCTTGTCCTCTGCTGCCTTCCTGGAGTGGCCTGGAAGCCTGTTCAGAAAGGCACAGTGTGGAGCTGGGGCTGTCTTCCCACCCCAGGACCATCAGGTTCACCTGTGTGTGCAATCGCCATGTACTCAGAGGGAAGGACCTTTGTTGCCTGCAACTTAGGAGCTGGGCCTCTGCTACAAGCACTTGAAAGTGATGTTTTTATTTTAATAGACTCAACAATCTGGTAGCTGATATAGCCTGGGCTCTTGGGAAGCCCCAGCATTTCTCTCTCCCCATTGGTTTGTCTACAGAAGTAGACTCTGAAGGAAGTTGGGGTCTGCATTTCCTGTTAAGAAGAGTGTATCAGTGCTCATCTTGTTATGGACCCTTTCGTTTGTGAATTTGAAGCAGCACTGATGAGCCTGGATTGTGAAGAGCTCATCTAGTAGCTGTTGAGTAGGTCTTGCTGGGTCCTCAGGATGCCATTGTGGATGATAGATATTTCCCAGAGTCTGCTGCTCTTGTGGTGGCCTTCCTGAGTCCACTCCCACCTCCTACCGTAGAAGTTGCACTGCACACCTGAGGTCACTGTTCTCCATGTAAGATCAAACCAGTGCTTTGATCTGGGCTCTGAGCACAACTGAGCAAACACTAATTTTTTTACACTCACCCAGTCAGATCCCAAAGGGCTGGTCTGGCTCTTCAGTGTTGGAATCTTTCCAATAGCACCATGAAAAGAAGAGGCACGGCCCAAGGTATTGTGGAAAGGTTTTAACAAGGAGGTAGGGCAGCTGGGTGTGGTGGTGCACACTTGTAATCCCAGCGGCTCAGGAGGCTGAGGCAGGAGGATTGTGAGTTCAAAGCCAGCCTCGGCAAATAAGCAAGGCTCTTAGCAACTCAGCAAAACTCTGTCTCTAAATAAAATATTAAAAAGGGCTGGGGATGTGGCTCAGTGGTTAAGCACCCCTGAGTTCAATCCTCAGTACTCCAAAATAAAGTAGGGAAGATACTCTGTTCAGCGGGCTTGGAGTCTAGCCCACCTCTGAACAGAGGACTATGGCTTTCATTGTCCTTGGACACTTCACCCTGGATGACACCCAGAGCCTCCCCTTCTGGGTCTCACCTGAAATTGTGCCAGATAGGAGCTAAAGACCAGCCTCTTGACTTCACAACAGAGAGATCTGACTGGGTAGGAGTTCAGTCCCCTCCACCCCAATTTATCATTTCACAGAATATCTTTTATTTATGGAACGCATGTCTTTTGTGTTAAGAAACCAAAGAGAAATAAAGAGAACACACCTAATAGTTTTTGCTCTTTTCTGATTTATTTTTTAACTATTATAAGTAAATCATATTTTTACTGTGATTCAGTGAATAAATATATTGGGTAAAATATGAATAGTCTTGTGAAAATAAGGGAAATGCCAGGTGTACATACAGCAAAAGCAGCTTTTGAAAAGATGTCTTATCAGATGAGCTCTGGTGCATGTTGCTGCTGCATCTGTGTTCCTGTCCAGCCCTCCATTGCTCTCAGGTTTCCCCTTCTCTTCACTCAGCTGTCGGAAAACTCTAGAATTCCCTAATGGAACATAGCTGCCCTGTTGACTGCTGGAAACCAATACTTCCAGCTCCTTTTTTATGCTTTTGGGCAGAAGTGCTTGGGTACACACATGAAAGCTGCTGGGACAATTTCAAACCACATATTTATTTCTAGGTCCCTCCTCAGAGGGGGGTTCCCAGGACTGGGGTACAGCTCAGCACTCTGAGGTGGTCCAGGTTACTTGGTGATGAGAACTGCTTTTAGCTTCCACTTACCCAAATACAGCCATGTTCCAGATCTGCCTTCCTAAGGTTACATTGTGTTCTCTTTGGTTATACATGTGAGTCATCACTCCTGCTTTTCCAAAAGTCAGCTTGTGGGCTAAGGTGTAACACAGTGGTAGAGCACTTGCCTGGCATGTGCAAGGCCCTGGGTTCCATCCCCAACACTGGGGGTTGAAGGCAATACATACATATATTATATATATATATATATATGGAAAGTCAGCTTGTGGTCTGTCTCATCCATTGGTGATACTCTTGGATGGCAACTTTTTTGGGGGGAGGGTGCTATATCCCACATAGCCCCCATGTTTCACATATAACCACTCAATTCTCACTTGGTCCTCTCAGTAATCCCTAAGAGCAGGGAGCTCCCCCCCGCCCCGCGCCCTGCCCAGTACTGGGGATTGAACCCATGGGCATTCTACTACTGAGCTATACCTCCAGCCCTTTCTGGTTTTTTTTTTTTTTTTAATTTTAGGAGATAGGGTATTGCTAAGTTTCCCAGGCTGGCTTTGAACTTGTGATCCTCCTACCTCAGCTTCCCAAGTTGCTGGAATTACAGATGTGCACCATTGTGCCCACTACACCATTCATTTTAACTGTCAGCTAACCTGAGTCATCAGTGGTACTGTCAAGAATTGAGAGCAGATGTTCATACTCAGTCTGGTTCACCTTCAATCCGGAAGCAACAGAATCATCTAGCCTCCAGGTCCAATGTGTGGAAAGTTCAGCCCCTACCATGATGGGCAATGAGCAGAAGATCATAAAAGAGAGTACCTTGTGCTAAGTCAGGCAGCCAGATTATCTAAGGGCTCTGTGCTGGGGGAGAAAGGCCAAATGCTTATAAAGTATTCCCAGGCCTTTCCACATAAGCAGCAACTTTCTCCACTAGAACCATGGTATAGACTGGTGAGAAGACTCATCTGCTTTTTGTTTGTTTTGTGTTCTGTTCTTTGGACTCTTCTCCTCTCACAGCTAGCCTCAGAGCCCACTTCTCTTCACCCCAAAGTCCAGCACTGCTGGTTTTCATAATATAACAGTACACAACCAAAAAAATTATGCAATATTAATCCAGTTATCTTAGAATTATCCCAAGTATGTGGTAAAGAGAAGTTTTTCTCATTAACACGACTAGTTCAGTTCCCCCAGTGAATTCTCTTTTTCTAGTTTTACAGTTCATATAAACCTAAATTCCATTTCAAGGCAGAAGGGACACCACAATATGGCACTTCTTTCCACAAAGCCTCCCTAAAACTATCCTTCAAGGTCTCAGTTTAGGTGTTGTCCCTGCAACAACAGAGTAGGCTTGGTGTCCCTACGCAGAGGCCTGTTTGCTCGTCTGTTGTATGTTGTATGTGCTAGTCCATGCTTGGTGATCAGCTCCTTGGAAGTCTCCATTATTGTGTGCCTAGCATTGGGCACAAAGAAGAGCCTCAATAACTACTTCTTGGAATATCTACAGACAGTTAAGTATTTCCACATTCCTTGGTCACCACCTCCTGCTTCCTCCATTTCACATTATTGCTTTTCCAGTAGTTTTATTGAGGCATAATTTATAAAGCTTAAAATTCATCCACTTTAAATGTTCACTAATTTTTCGTAAATGTATAGAGTTATATAGCCATTACCATTTTTAAATGTTTTCAGCATTCCAAGAAGTTCCTGCAGTTAATTGTCTTCCCTACCCCCATCTTCAAGCAATTAGTTTACTTTTTGTCTCTATAAGTTTTCCTTTCCTGTTCATTCTATGTGAATTGATTTATATGCTATTTTTTTCCTTTTCCTTTTCAGTGTCAGAAATCAAACCCAGGGCCCACCAGGAACCAGTGCATGCTAGGCCAGGCAAGCACTCTACCATTGGACTACATCCCTTGCCCCTTGTTTTGTGTAAATGAATCACAATATGTGATCTTTTGTGTCTGGCTTTCTTTTTATTTATTTATTTATTTATTTTGGTGCTGGGGATCAAACAGAGCCTTGCACATACTAAGCACACACATGCTCCACCATTGATACTGAGCTACAACCCTAGCTTCATATATATATATATATTTTTTTTTTCTTTTCTTTTGGTATCAAGATTGAACCCAGGGGCATTGAACCACTGAGCCATAGCTCCAACCTTTTTATTTATTTATTTTTAATTTTGAGACAATTGCTTAGGACCTCA